TTCCTTCCTTTCCTTTCCTTTCCTTTCCTTTCCTTTCCTTTCCTTTCTTTTCCTTTCCTTTCCTTTCCTTTCCCTTCCCTTCCCTTCCCTTCCCTTCCCTTTCCTTTCCTTTCCTTTCCTTTCCTTTCCTTTCCTTTCCTTCCTAAGCAATAGCAGACTTATATATTGCTTTGCAGTGCTTTCACAGCCCCCCCTCTAAGGAGTTTATAGAGTCAACCTCTCACCCCCAACAATCTGGGTCCTTGTTTTACCCACCTCGGAAGGACAGAAGGCTGAGTCGACCTTTGAGCCTGGTGAGAGTCGAACTGCCAGCAGCAGGCAGACAGCAGAAGTAACCTGCACTACTGCAGTCAGTGAAGTGGCCAGAAGACTGTTGCATTCCTGCGCGAGCAGTAAGAGACCCACAAAAGCTTCAGGTCACAATGCCGCTCCCCTGCCTACCTCTCCATCGTGGGCCCTCAGCATCCTTGAAGCTCAATTGAGTGACCTCCTTAAAGGAAGTTTCCTGAGTTGGAATAAAAGCCGGTGAGACTTTGGGAGGTTACTGGTGGGTGGCGATGGCAGCTCTTTTGCTAACGTCATCTTGCTTTTCAAATCTCCTTCGATGCTGACAAAGACAAGTAATCAGCCACCCCCAGAAACATTTGAATGGCTGCCTTTGCTGTTCCAGAAAGCAAGGTTAGGCCTTCTAGGTATTCTGCTACAGGAAACAACAAGCTCTGGCTTTTTATTTCTCCTGAGGGCATCAGCCGAAAAGCCGAGAAGCGAAGTCCATCCCAGAGATTCTTTCCTAAAACACGTGAGTTGCTTTGTGTGATGGGAGAGTTACAATGAAGCCGAGAGCATCATGGCGTTAACAAGCCTTTGTGATAGGACAAGAAAACGTTGGGTGAGATCTCACCATCTTCTTCATAGATGAATAACCAGATGACTCAGCTCGATGGTATGGCTCAACCATACAATGAATGGTGAGGGAACTGGGCAGGTGTAGCCTAACAAAGAGAAGATGACAGTCTTCCAATATTTGAGGGGTTGTCACCTAGAAGAAGGGGTCAACCTCTTCTTCAAAGCTTCTGAAGGCAGGACCAGAAGCAACGGATGGAAAGTAACCAAGGAGAAAACTAACCTAGAACTAAGGAGGAATTTCCTAACAGTTAAAATAATCAACCGGTGGAACAGCTCACCTTCAGAAGTTGTGGGTGCTCCATCACTGGAAGTTTTTAAGAAGAGATTGGACAGCCATTGGTCTGAAATGGTTTAGGGTTTCTTGCCTGAGGAGGGGGGTGGACTAAAAGACCTCCAAGGTCCCTTCCAAGCCTATTATACTATATTCTATATCAGTCATTCCCCAAAATGCCAAATAGTGGTTATAACTAAACTCTCGTTTCCAAGTAGATCTTTTTTTACATTTGTCTTCAAACTGGCCAAGATGTGTTATAGGCGTCTTAATATAATATTGCAGCTTGGAATGTTTTGTATTTCTCTGAAAAGAGACCAATGGTGTGTAGTTTCCCTGTCTTTGAACAACATTTGTAGCAAGAAACAGTGGAGAATGATCTCAATACTCGGGATCTGCATTCACAACTGTCAAGGCCCCTAAGCAAGATGCCTCTCATTATTGTTGCTGTTGTTGTTGTTACAATCAGTTGCAACTATGGGCCAATTCCATTGTAATGCAATGATTACAATAAAAGTAAAATGAACCCAACTTCAATCATAAGAAGGAAAACCTTGCAGAGAGAGGCTCGCCTAAACCCCAGACGCCATGCTTGAGGAACATCAAATCAGCAAGGACTTCCAAAAGGCGACCAGAATTCGCATTGATTTTCAGAGGGCGGGAACGGGGTTCTGTGAAAGGAGGCTGGTCCCTTCCAACCAGCACCCCCTGTTCAAGCCCGTTTATCCATGCCAGGAAAGGAAGACGGGCAACTGAAACGGAGGGTAATGGGAAACAGATGTCATGGATGGCAGAATCGCTCAATCTCTTTCACGCTCATGCTAATTTATCTCCAAGGCTAGGAAGAAGCTGGCAATTAAAAGTCCATCCAAACAATGCTGGGGAAGGAAAATGGGAGGGCGGCTTAATTCTTAAGGACGTGCTGCTGAATCCCTCCTCCCATTCTTCTCCCAGCTATTCCCGCCAGCTGAGTGGAGCCAACGCCTGCTACGCCTTTGGCTTTGAGAATTTGGACCGGGGGAGACTTGCATTGTATTCCGAAAACAAATGCACAGTTGGGTGCCTGGAATGCGCTAATACCCGTGGCAGCTTTTGTCGGTGATTAAATCCCCCTTGGCACCCAAAATGGATTATAGTTCTTTTCTCTGGTAGGAGGAGCTTCTGTTTTTAGTCTGGGGGGGGTCTTCATGCTAGCTAAAGAGGGGCTAGGTGAACGCAACACGGGGAGGATGTTGAGGTCAGAGGGGTCCTACTGGTTTCCGTAGCTGATTACGGTTAGGGCAAGTTTTTACCAAAGGGTGGAGCGTGCCAGGAAGTGGCTGCAAGGAGACCATGGAAGGCCCATGGAAGAAGGTAGAAGCTTTGGGTGTTGCTGTATCTGGCAGAGCAACCTGTATCTTTGTGTCTTTAGTTGGAAGGACTTCATGCAGTAGCAGAACCAGCTCTGGGAATAGGCATAAACTACAAGTCTTATATCAAAAGAGGAACTGGGATGTTCCAAGTGATAGCTCCTTCCTTCTTCCCTCCCTCCCTATCTTCCTTCCTTTGTTCCTTCTTTCCACTCATTTCATCTCCCTCCCTCCCTCCCTTTTTTCTGCCTTCTTCCCTCCCTCCCTATCTTCCTTTGTTCCTTCCTCTCATTTCATCTCCTCCCTCCCTCCCTTTTTCCTCCCTTCCTTCTTCCTCTCATTTCACTTCT